CTGGTGTAGGCCGGTGTCAACATGATGTTTGACTTGTGATGTGCGGCCCAGTTGAGGTTGCGACACATCGAACGAACTCCTGAACTCATGGAGAAGATCCAGCAGGTCGGCATGTTCGGTGGGAGTGAGAGTGTCAGCGATGGCGCTGGAAAACGTATCATTGGACGACTCCCCAAGTGCTGACAGTGCTTTTGGGTGGTCGCAGTAGTCGTCCGGGACATCAAACAAAAACGAAGGGTCGAGATCCTGCACGCGGCCGAGACATTCCCCCGCAAGCAATGTGACAGGTGTGGAAAGCGGATTGCTTACGAACATGTTGCTTCTTCCGGCGGCAAGGTCAATTGTTGCGAAAGGCAGCGGCAGAGATCGACGACTCTTGAAGATATCGGAAGGCATAAAAAGGCATGTAGCGTCAGTGTAGGCGTTGCATGAAACGGGAACAAGGGCAAAATTTTCTGGTGGAATATCGGTATCTTCAAGAACGAGCAACTTCGGCGGCTGATGAGGAGCGTCCAGTAATGGGACATCACACAAGGGCGAAAACTCAACCTCGGCGCGTGCGCAGTCAATGACGGCATTATGGTGGGATAGGAAGTCCCACCCGAGGATGACGTCATGCGAACAGACAGGAAGAACAATAAACTCCACGATGTAAAGAATGCCTTCGATGGAGACTCTTGCAGTGCAGGCTGCGAGAGGCGTTACTTGCTGTGCGCTTGCGGTGTGAAGCGACAGTCCCGAAAGCGGCGTCGTTACTTTGCGTAATAAACGGCAGAGATTAGCGGCAATAACAGAAACAGCGGCGCCAGTGTCCACAAGGGCGAAAGTACAATAACCTTCAACAGTTACTGCGACCACGTTAGCAGGAGAGGAGCGAGGGCTTAGACAGTTCGAAAACGGCGCAGTTCTTGCCTCTTGAACTGCGTTGCTTAGTTTTCCTGGTCGGAGGGTCCGGGCCGGCGACGCATGGGGGAGGGCGATCGCCGACGAGGAGAGGGTGCGCGTTGCGGCTGAAAGTCTAGGTGGTCAGTAGGCGCATAGCGAGGTGGCGAGACCGGCCCGTATTGGACGAAGGGTTGGCTGCCGGGATGCGACGACCGGGCATAGTTGCCGAACGTCTGAGGTCGACGGCGGCAGTAGCGAGCAACGTGTCCGGGAGTGAAGCAAGCGTAGCAAATCGGTCGGTTATCGGGCGTCCTCCAGGGATTGGCGACTGGTGCTGCCGCCCAAGGTGCAGTATAAGCAGCCGGGTGTGCGGGCTGTGAGCGCGTGGTGTAGGGTGGTTGCGGGAGCCTACGTACAGCGTCTGCATATGTGAGCGGCGCGGCTACGGGCTGCATCTCTTGTGAAAAGGCGACAGGCGGAGCCACAGGCTGCGTTGCATAGGTTAGGGGCGCCGCCACAGGCTGAACGGCTGGCGGATAGGCGACAGGAGGGCCTACCGGCTGTGCGACACCCGGGCAGTGACCACGGCTTGATAGAGGTGGCTCGTAGTGCGCACGAGGAACAGCTTGTGCAACCTCTTCCGATATAGCCGTGCGAAGCGGGGCAGGTAGACGGGTGGTGGTCTCGTGAGTAAAGGGCACTAGGGAAAGTTGGCGGGCGACTTCCTCACGGACGAAGACTCGGACTTGCTGAAGCAATGGTGAATTGTCGGGCATGGAGTCGAAGCTGGACAGCGACTCACCACCAGGCTGAGGCTGCCTAGTCAGAGTGCGTTGCTTTTTCAACTCGTCGTAGCTCTGACACAAGCTGACGACTTCAGAAACTGTGCTTGGATTCCTTGCCAAAAGCATTTGAAATGCGACGTCGTCGATGCCCTTCAGGATGTTTTTGACCTTGTCGGATTCGGGCATGGTGTCATTCACACGTCGACAAAGGTCGACGACGTCCTCAATATAACTGGTAAAGGTCTCGCCAGTCTGCTGAGAGCGGACGCGCAAGCGCTGTTCTGCCCTCTGCTTGCGGACAGCCGGCCGACCGAACACTTCAGCACATGACGTCTTGAAGACGCTCCATGTGGGGATGTTGTGTTTGTGGTTATTAAACCACAATTCGGCGACGCCAGTGAGATAAAATATCACGTGGCCCAGCTTGTCGGCTTCATCCCACTTATTGTTGGCGCTCACCAGTTCATAGTGCTCGAGCCAGTCTTCGACGTCGGTCCCATCCGCACCGCTGAAGACCTTCGGCTCCCGTAGTTTAGGATGGCCAGGGCAGTTGAACTGGAGCGAAGGCGTCGATGTAGTGGCGTTGGCAGTCATGACAGGTGGTAGCGTGCGGCTTCGCAGCTCCAGGGTGTAGCAACGGGGATTAACAGCACCTTCCACCAAATGTGAGGAGGTTTATTAGCCGTTAAAGACAGCGACGAGACAGCGTCAAGAACCGTCCAGCGATCGGCACAGCAACGAACCCAAGCACGAGCCGAGAGAGCCAGGCGTTGGCGATGCTGCTCGCTGCAGGCACATCTTCTTCTTCACATTATTATTATTATTATTATTATTATATTATTATTATTATTATTATTATTATTATTATTATTATTATTATTACGAAGGCGTTAGTGCTGTGAACGAAGCGGCTGCGTTCTAGCTACCGCAATCGACGCAGACTACGCTGCCCTTGTTTTCGCAATCAAGCTGCAGTTTTCTCATGGTAGCATCGTTACATTCGAAGAACAGCGTACGCACGTGGTGCTGTTTGTCCAAAAACAAACTATTTCTATTGCGCATTGTTAGGACAAAAGCCCAAATGCCTCGTCTCTTTTCTTGTTTTGGAGACACGGCAGCTCGCTTCCACGCAGAAAAAAAAAGATAAAAAGGGAACATGCATGGTTCCCGCGTCCTGTACAGTATCGCGATACAATCGATAAAGCGTAGAAGTATTTCAATACTGAGACACAAGTACTCTTTTTTCGAATCATAAGATGAACAGTGGAAGTGCCTCAGACTGGCTGGCCGGCGTTTCGATGGGAGGACCTATCTTTTTCAAAGGCGCCGTGTCATCCTTGGCATGTTAGATTCGAAGGGGTTAGTGGTGACGTCATTCCATGGTGGTGGCGCGTGTCCCTGTTGATGATCGCCATCTGAAAAGCAAAATACCATAAAGCAGAAGAGTGCAGTCCTGCTATAGTATTTTGCTATAGGTTCTCCCATCGAAACGTCAGCCAGCCAGTCTGAGGCACTTCCACTGTTCATCTTATGATTATCCCACTACGTTGTTTCCATCTGTCGGCTCCCATCAAGATTTTGTTTTTCTTTTTCAAATGTATTTCGATACAAAACACAGATACTCAAAAGTATTCGTAAGATACTACGGCAACGCTCTAGTATTGCGGTACTGCTCCGCCCTGATTCAGTCATGCTTCCAAGGCACGTACTACTTGTTCTGGCTAAAAATGGGCCCACATGCACTCGGTGGCACTGCATTATACCTAGTCATCCAAATCATCTGCTTGGCTAGAGAAGCCACCTGTAGCGCTCGTAAAGGGAAAGGGCTGTGCGTGAGAGGGAATTGCAGCGACGATTCCTTCAGCAAATGGCGCAAGCGCATTGTAAGTTTGCGAGAAGATGTAAAAGAAGCTTGATGTTCAGAATAGGTGATTATGAGGATGAGCCCCGCCGCGGTGGTCTAGTGGCTAAGGTACTCGGCTGCTGACCCGCAGGTCGCGGGTTCGATTCCCGGCTGCGGAGGCTGCATTTACGATGGAGGCGGAAATGGTGTAGGCCCGTGTGCTCAGATTTGGGTGCACGTTAAAGAACCCCAGGTGGTCGAAATTTCCGGAGCCCTCCACTACGGCGTTTCTCATAATCATATGGTGGTTTTGGGACGTTAAACCCCACATATCAATCAATTATGAGGATGACAGTGCACAACACTGTCATCCCCATCATCTTGAATTGGGTTGTTGGTTAGGGTCATGGTTGCGTGGCTTTACCCACTACGGGGTATAAGTCACAAACCAAGGGTGGAGCTAAAGATGAAGAAAGAACTACTAACACGGGATTGTGCAAATAATATGTAGATGATGATGAAGAAGAAGACGACGATGCCTTAAATATGGCTCATACCCACTAATGGGGATCGGCCAAGAACTGATTACATGAGTTAGACATTTTAAATATTGAACGTTTATAAGAAAAATAATGTACGTAAAACTAAAACAGTGCAATAAGTGTTGTTTTCCCGATATGACCAGACAAAATAGTCATTATCTCCGCTACAACTGAACATACCTAAAAATAATTCATACTAATACTCATCACAGTAAAAAAATGATTTTTTTGTGTCAAATGGTGATAATAAAATAGGCTGATCTTCGGTGACTTTGTAGCAAATGTTAAGATTTATGTTAAGCATACGCACGTGTATACAAGTATGTCTTGTTTTTATGAGAACTAAATAGAAGGCGCATGGATGCAGATATTAAGACTAATGACTCACACCAGTCCCAGAGAAATTAGTAAGGAATCTGGTACGTAATACAACGAGAGTGGCCCATATTGTACGTCGTGTCTATTTCGTGACGCCCCAGCCCGTGATAAGAATGTGGAACACTTTTGAACAAGCCTGAAATTAAGCTATCTTCACCATGTCTGTGCAGCAGGCCTCAGGCCCGGCAGACCTCCCGACCTCGACCACTGGATTGATGAACTGTATCACAGTCCGCTGTTAGACATCATAAATGAAGAACAGTGGCATGTGCACTTTTGATACCGCGAATGGCAATGCCTAAGGACGGGCTTTGGAAATAACAAATTTTTGTGGAATCGAAGCTTTTCGTCGTCTTCTTTCGACTGCACGTTGTTGTGCCCGACCAAGGCGCGCGCAGTGACAGTGGCGCAGTGAGGGGGCGGCCGCCGGAATCGCGAGCGCCGCTTCGAAACCCCAGCGAGCCTCGCTGAGCCTGCCGCGCATGTAGCCCACGGTGAGGACCACGGTCACCTAGGTGCTGCCCGCGCGGATTCACTCAGACCTGCAGCGAGAGACTCGCCGCCGCCATGTCCACTCTGACCACAGAGCGGCGCACCACAACCACGAGCGCTACCTTCCTCGGCCCGACAGCACCCTCGGACATGGTAAGGGCGGCGGAGATCGCACTTCTGAATCGCCGTATGGGTGTCCGTCTAGGAGCCGAAAAGTCTCGAGCTTGCCTGAGAGCATCTCCAGAAACGGTGGGGGGAGCACGTTGCCGTTACAGCTTCCCGGGATGAACTCGATGTTTGCGAGTTGTCGCTTTCAGCGCGATGAATAACTTCGAGTGCGTACGTCAGTGTCGGAAAGACAGAGCGGATTTAAATATTATTTGTGAAATTGTGAGGGTTAACTTCATGGCGTACCATGACATCTCTTTTGTGACACACATGGGATTCCGAGTTCCAACTGACAGAGTCAATGCATGTTTCATGTTATGAGTGCTTTACTTTCTCTTGTTATTTTTAATTTTATTTCTTTTACGGACATCCATTCGTCGGAGGCTCGCATGGAAGCAGTCACCTTGCACATCCAGCGATACCGCGTGCTGAATGAAATTTGGGTTCAACTGTGCTCTCGTTGGGTGTATAACAGCAATTCGGGCGTACTGCTGTGAATGTTGCGAAATTTTATGAGAACTCTATACTTGATATGAGAAAAAATAAAACAGTGCTGTAGGCTTGCTGCTCTTCTACTAAAGGCTGCACGCGCTCAACTTTCACTCCGAACATTATCCACAAACACAAATGCACGCCCCAGAAAGAGCGCTTTCTTTGGTATGCTTTAGTATGCGGGGATTTGAAGGGGGAATATTTCTTATAAGTGAGCAAAGAAACCAACATGCCCTATTGTAGGTGTCCATGTTTCATTTGTTCCTGCTTCGTCTGCAGAATTTTTATCAATCAAATCGCCACTAGTGCAGCCAGCGACGGCAAGGGGGAAGGGGGCGTAATCAATAATCGCAATATTTGATTTTTTGTGCAATATTTGATATTTTTGAGGGATGCGTGTATATACACATTCACGTACAAGCATGCGTACGAACGTCGGCTGATTGAAACCCCGTCCTCCTCTTTCCTGACAAAAAAAAATATGTTCCTACTCACCCTGCAATCCGCTGTGGGTAGAGGTCGATGTACGCTTTGACGCCGTGCCTCCAATCGTGCTTATAGCTTGTACGAGTCTCCGAAGACCCTTTAAAGTTATCAGCACGTCTTCAAGACAAGTTATATTGCTTGTCGGTATAACCTTGGTCAATTTCGGCTCATAAATGTACTCAGGTCGCTCCCAAACTTCATGTGGATTTCACAGAAAAGTTAAGCATGCCGAGGCTACATCTGGTCAAATGCACTGGCTAAAATACTAGCTTAGTTGTGATAACTCGCCAGCAATTTCATAGGAGTGGGCGTACAAGCTTATATCACCTAACTGCGATCGTAATTCGCTGGCTTACATGCTACTATTTAAATCATTACTAGTATACCGAAAATCGTTATGCCAGGGTTGGGTCATGTAGGGAATCACGTAGAATGTTTAAGTCGGTTGCTGTAGCGAAAAA